ATCTATTAACTTGAAAAAGTTGAAGAAAATAACTCATATTTTCCTGTGTGCCTTGCCTAGAGTAGGAAAAAATGGATGTATTTGTCAAATACACTGGCTACTATGATTTTGAATACACTAAGGGTCTATAATTAGAGCCAAATATTTACAGAATTAAACCACAGTTGCAGTACTTACTAAAATAGTTTACAAGAATTAACTAAAATATTGAAATAATGGGTAATATTTAAGAATAAAGTTTTTTCTCAAAGTAGGAAAAATATCCCAATGTGGTAACCTGAGTCTGCCTTCAGATGAGAAGGAACACAATACATGTGCCTGATGCTGTGAGAGAAGGTCTCTATGTCTTTGTGAAAAGATGAAGATTATGGCTCAAGGGCTTTAATTTGTCAATAAGGACACTGTGCTGGTAGTAGGAATGTTGCTGTACTGCTAAGTCTGTTCTTGATGTGGATCATCATGATGATTTCATCTTCTCTGTTTTCCTCAAACTGTCTCTTGTTGGAAAAAGCACTTGAAAGTCCCCCATCTTGAGTTGAAACAAATAAAACATGAGTGCAAATAGGGCTAGCATTGGTGAATTTGAGATCTTGGCAGTGATAAACTGAGGAGTTTAAGGGGAATATTCTTTGTGAATGACTTGGGAAGATGATTCATCACCCCATGATGGTTCTCCTTGTCCCAGATATAAAAAGCAGAAATCTCATTGATACAACCTTGTGTATGCTTTTTTCCTCATAAAGTTTGAGTCTTGATGTTCTTCTCTGAATTTACAACATGAAGATTTTAAGAGAAATAGAAACACCTAAACAACCCTTTTAACTTTATTACACCAGCAGCAGTAACTAGAACACAATTGTATAGTTGGCTATAGTATCAGTCCAGCAAAAGCAACAGCAGAAATCAAGTGTTTTGGTATTAGAATGCTTTCACCATAAATATTTGGGAAGTGTTCTTTGATGGGAGATTGCAGCTACATAATTTAAGATCTTTGTAGATTTTCAGCATAGATCTGTGAAGGCAAAAGGTATTATTGGATGGTCAATACAGATTCTCTACCAACGGCATTTTAAAAACCCAGCGCTAAGTTACCCTGGGAAAAAAAACAGTGCAATTAGAATAAAATTTCGCAAAAGCATGTGAATTCTGAGTCAAGTAGGTTTTAAGCACGGCAAACCCACACCCTGGGATTTAAACATGTATGGGCTTCTGGAGACCTTGTACCACGCTCAGTGTTTCATATCACTGGAAAATATGTAAACAGCAGGTAAGTATCTTTTAGATACTTACCACTTGCAATAATAGCAAGACTTTCTTTCCACTGGATAATAAGGTGAAGGAAAGAAGTGCTTTACTCTCAACAGACGTCCTTGAGCATAGCACCTGGAATTCATTGTACTGTGTCAAGTATATATTGTGGTTAACTACAGCAGAATGTGTTGTTTTCTGGAATGATGAAGAAAAATTTCCATAGAAACCTCATAACTTACTACCTTGAACTTGGAAAATGACCATTTGAGGGAACAAAAACGAATAGACAAAAAATAATGGGGTCTTATAAGAAGCTCAGCAAAGAGATAGACTTGTGCCCATAAGTGTATGAAGATTGGCAACCACTCTAGGCTGAAAAGAAAGCAACTTTTTAAACACTGTTTAAACGGAGATCTAAACCATTGTGAGAAGGATGCAATACTCAATGCGTGTTTTCCCTTCTTTACATGAGTGCTGATTGTTCTCAACACTCACATAAAGAATATCCATGTAGTTTGTACAAATGAGTTTGTACTTAGAGGAGAATTTATGCCAGTCTTCTGAGCTTGGTGTAAGGTCAGTGTGATGCAGACCCACCAAGAACATGGTAGATGAAAGCTGGAGAAAGAAGGATCTCCATCTTTCCCAGAAAGGAGAAAAAGCATTGATCAAAGGCTGATTTCTGCCATTTGATAGAGCCCTGAGAAACCATAGGTGAAGTTAGCTTTCTTCATCTTCAGTGTAATTCAACAGGTACCCAAATTACTGTTGTTGGGTTTTTTAATAACAGTTCTCCAGAGCTGAAAAGCATATCTAGTGTATATAAAAGTAATAATTTAAAAATACTTTGGAGATAACTTGAGAATATCATGTGGCAAAGTTTCTGGAAAAAAAAATAGGTATTTTTATATGAATCCCTGTGGTATAGCACAGATCATGGTTATTGAGGGTGTAAATGTGAATCTGTTAAGATGAATAGAGTATGAAGAATTATCTTTTTCTAAAGTTCATGTTTATATTCACTGTTTCTCTGTGCCTCTATGTACAGGATGCTGGAGCATGAGTGTTGTCTCTTGATTTTAAATCTTTCTATAAGGAATAGCATTGCATGTGAAAGATGCCTTTACCATGCAGTCTATAGCAGAGTATTGTTCTTCAAAAAATTTTGTATTTCTCTTAAAGTTATTTCATGTCATCTGTTGTGACATAATAGTTTGTGTCATGTCCTATTTGGGCAGAAACATGTACACTTTGACTTCAATGCCAGATGGTCGATAGATGAAACTTACCCAGAAGGTGATCGGTGCTTCTTTTCCTTCTTGCTGGTAATCTCTGCAGAGGCTGTTGTAATTAAAATGTCATTGCCATTTCACAGGAAATTCAGGGATTTTAACGCATGGTTTTGTCCCAAACTTTGGATGAAAAGAAAAAAATTTAGAAAAAATTTTCCAGGGCTCATTAAGGAGTTTGCTTACCTTCTCCTACTTCCCCATCTTTCCTCCTCAATCTACTAAGTGTGCTGTAGCTGATACAGTCCTATCAGGTGTACTGGGCTTTTGGATCTCTTAGCAGGGCCTTTTTTATTTTGGTGGGGGAGGTTAAGGGAGCAGTGTTAATTTATTTTTTTGTGTGTATGTGTGATGAACCATAATTATCTCTGATTTTGTTTCATCTGAGGTACTTAAGGTGTATGAGAGAGGGACAGAAATGGAGGAACATAACCTGAGTACAGTTGTGGTACTGCATTAGCTTCAGTCTGGAGAAGACCAAAATGATAGGGGCTACTTTAAGGTATAAAAAGAAAAAAAGCAGACACTTAAAATGCTGAAGTACTAAAGGAATTTTTGTAGTGTATGGAACATCGCCCAGGGGCTAATATGAACTACAAGTGAAATAACATCCTCTTTGAAACAGTATATCTGATCAGAATGTAAGGAGGTGTTAGACTTAGTTTTGCAGCAGAGGATACAAGCGCTTCTGCAGCAATCAGTGAAAAGAAAGGATGCAAGTGCAGATAAAGTTGGTGTGGGAGTGTGTTTGTGGTATCATAAGCATTCATTCTGGAATTTACCTAACAGAAAAGGCATATATAATTACTGTATAGAATGCAGTAAGTGTGGATTTAATACAAAGCACAGAAATGCTGTAAGGGAAAAGAAATAAAATATAGGAAAATAGTTCTGATTGTATCCCATTTAATGATTAAGAATTTCTACAGTTTTGGAAGAGAGAACACTTTAAATAACATTTATCAAGTCAATTAAGATCACGTGCATGGAAGAGAGTCTGCAGAGAAGCTATCAAAGGGGAAGGGAGAAGCTATTTAAAATAAGCAAGCAGAGAAGCATAATTAAATGTTAGGACAGATAAAGCAAGGACAAGTAAAAGGGATAGATCCTGACACTGACAAGATACAGGTTGTATTCCATGAACTAGCAAAATACATAGAATTAAACAATTTCAAGGTGTGGTAGAAAAAACGCAGATACAGAAATGGCACTCAGCTGTTGGGATCAGGGGACAGACAGACCTTCTCAGCTGGTTTATGTACGTGTGTGTGCCAGCATGAACAACCACTATTGCAGGCATAATTATGAGGGTTGTTTTCTGAACTTTGCTTCAATAAACCAAAGTGTGTTCTGTAAATACACAGCACAATCTGTATATACTATAAAATGTGCGTGCTGCTTGTCCTCTTTCTGGTTTCCATTTCTGGGATCAGCTCCTCAGTCCAGAAATGCTTTTACTTTACATTGCTCTTTTAACCTTTGAACAGCATCTCGTGTCTGTTTACAACTTATGCACAAAGCTGACTGCAGCTATCTGGTAATTAATTTGCCAGGCACAACCTCACAAAGAGAGAGGAGCGTTCTCTTTGTGGTCTTGCAACGTTTTTAGGTGTGAGGAAGTATGATTGTTGTTCAGTGATTGCCAAAGCTTCTACTGCAGTTATGAAACACATCATGATTGTGAAGGTGATCAGTGTATATTTGCTTCAGGAGGTAAACCAGCAGAGAGATCAGGAATCTAATAAGTGGCATTGCAGCTACTCTCACTTTAGATCTCTTCTTGGTGAGGAGAACAGGAGAGAAATTTATAGAGACCAGTGATAGAAATAGAAAACAAGATTAAAAAAAAGAGAAAGTTTGGTGCAAAATGCAGTAGGCAGAAACCAAAGGCAGAATGATGAAGCAACTTCTAGTGTAACTGGCAAGTAAAGGGCATCCCTGGGACATGTAAAATACATTTATTACATGGTTGAGTATTTCAGGAAAAAAACCTCAAAGGTACAGTTCTAACTCAATTTTGGATTTGTAGGATTAGCTCATTTTATGGATTTATGAGTCACTTGAACCTTTGTAAAGAAGATAGACTAAGATCCAAAATATACAAAGCACACTTTAAAAAAGAACATTATCCTATAAATTTTGAAGTTTAACAAAAGGAATTACAGTTCATACAATGTTGTTAGTATTTATTTGCTGCATTTTATGTAAACTGCTGCCATCAGCAGTGACAGCATTGAGTCAAGGTTTCTGAGACGGGTAAAGAGCTTATCTCCTACATGTATCCTGACTTCTCTTCACTATTTTCCTGCTCCATTGCCTTGTCTGTCTTTGGGCCTTTTGTACCATATGTGAAGCCTTTTCTACATAAGGGAAATAGGAAACCTGGGAAACATCAAGTGCTTTTTTCATGCTTTTAAGATTACTCCTTCCTAATCATATATTTTCTGTTCTTTTCACCAGGACATATTTCAAGACGTTTGTCCCTCAGTTCCAGGAGGCAGCATTTGCTAATGGGAAGCTTTAGACAGCTTCAGGCATGGAAACTATACTGGACAGATCCTTCAGTCTGCACATGGTCAGCCCAGAAGAATGCCTGGAAATGAGTTGGAATGTCTTGATAGGTGCTTTCTTGCCTCTGAACTGGTTTTGGTAGCTTCAGTTTTTGAAACAGAGACCTCACTAGCATGCTTAGAACTGAATAATTGGTATTAGTCCTGCCCCTTTGCGTTTGCCACCACCATTCCTTTCTATATCTATTGGATTAAATTTAAAAGGGCGTGTATTGATATGATAACACTTTCTTGTGCCAACAATGTCCTGTATGTTATGCCTTGTTTCCTGGTCTTCAGATGGTCTAAATTGGATTGGTTTTCCATGGAAATATGATGTAATGTGTATATTTAGTTAAACATTTTCAGCTTATCCTAAGAAAACATAAAACTGCCGTATGTACCGGGAATGCCTAACGGACTGTGGAGTGCCATATTCTGCCTTGGAGGTTTGTGCTCACTGTGGTTGTTGCTCTCACAGGTATGGATATGAGTTGCACACTTCAATTCTCAGTGCCTTTCCAGTTGGTCTGAAGTTAATATGGCAAGGTGTTTGAGGTTTGGTGGTTTTTCTAATGCTTCTGTTGAAAGCTCGTCTTATGTGAAACGTTAGGCTTTTATGCTTTGTTTTTATTTCCAGTTGTAAAATTTTGGTGTTTTCATAATGAGAGCCCCTTGCCATTATGAAAAAGTTCTACTTCTTTAGTACCAACATGCAAGTAACTAGTTATATAAATCAATATAACTAAATAAAACTCTTTCTTAGGCGTGTAATTTTTCTAAATAAGATAAGTATTGCTAAGAAACAAACTTTCAACAAAGGAATGAATGATGTCTTGGAAAATAGCTGATGAAATAATGTAGGGCTATAGGTATTTAGCTTAATGCTTAAGTTCAGCATATCTTCTCAGAAAATATTTTTAAGTGTATATAACTGGAAACATTACCTCCCCTAATTCTGAAATGCCAAATGCAAAATCCCACCTATTCATCCTTTCTTTCCTGCTTGTGTCAGGCACACCAGTTGGGACTAATGGTCATGATGTCACTTCCCCAATTAATTTGTGAATAGACCAAGGTACTTTCCAGTAAGGAATAAAATTAACAGTGTGTTGCTTATAAATGGTATCTGGAAAATGTGCCCTACTTCTGCTAAATACAAGGAACTAAATGAATAGCATACAGATAATACAGTGGAACTGGAAAACATTTAATTTTAAATTATTCACTGTAGCATCACATGCAAGGAAGTCTCGTCTACTTGATTGGCAGTATTCTCCTATCCTTTCTACAACTTGTTATTTCGCATGAAAAATAATGCTTTTCAGGGTTTATATTCACCTAGGTAATACAGATGGATTTTGAGTAGTGAAGCTTAATAATTAAGAATTATGCAAATAATTTGCCTCTAGAAACTACAAGTATTTTTAGCTAGTTTGTGGGCAAAATTTAATTTATGTTCAATACTGAAGTTCTTGGCTGAAAATTAAGCTGCAAACAAAATCAGAAGTTTTATTGTAAGTCTGCAGACAAGGCATATTCTGTCCTGTGACCCACCCCTTTGTGATTTTTCATTGCATTATCAGAGGACTGTCAACAGTTTCAAAGGCCTGAGCCTGAATTCCCTCTTTGGAGACACTGCATGAGGCTTTTGCATGCTTAGAGCAGATGTGGAAGGTAATGGTTTTTTGTGAAGAGCAAAATCATAACTGAAGAACCTCAAGTGACTAAGAACAAAATATTGTTTAGTGTACTAGGATAATCTCACGTCTGCATTTATTCAGGGGAAGGCCAAAGCCACAGACACATATTCAAGAATAAGCCAGCCTTGTGAATGTGGTGGGAGAAGGAGGGTGGCTAATGAAAAACATTTGTTCTCATAGTGTTAAAAATCTGATAGAAACAATCTCTAGCCATCTTCAAAAGGTATAAACCAAGCCCTTAAGTTGCATCAGCACATTCCTGGAATCTTACATTTTATAACTTTGATTCAGTGTTGTACTGATTGCCCCATGAGCACAGTGTGTGCTTTACATACTGATTGCCCAAGTGGCGACAGTGTTTTGTTGTTTGGTTTTTTTTATTTTTTTCAGAAGTTATCATAATTCAAAGGCTTTGCAAAATAGTTTGTAAAGAGGTCCACTCTTCAGAATTTAGATTTATCCTCAACCAAAAATGCATCCTTCACCTCAGTCCTAGTCATTTTGGACAATGAACTGCTTTATTATTAAAGAGTTTTAGAAGCCGTGTAAGAAAATATTTTGAAGGTACAAAAAGCCTAAACCAGCAATTCATTGTGTTGAATTCAATAGTTTCACCAACTTTTCACTAACATACATAGAAACAAATCAGTAGTTTGTCTAATTTTAACGTCATGCTACAATTGGTAGTATTTTGAAAAAAACAAGTTAGAAAAGATGAAAAACTGTACTGTTTGTATTTAAGATAAGCTTATCCATTTTCAGATTAGAAGAAAAGGCATTTTTGTTACACTTAATGAACTTTTTATTTCTCTTTGACCTATGTGGTATTTTATGGATCCCTTTCTAATAGTTGTCAGAAGTATTGAGAGTGTTAGCTCTCCAAGTGGGGTGTTGAGAGGAGAGACACTGAAACGAATGGAAACTTCTCTCCAGGAGAATTACCATATAAATGCTATACCAGAAGAGAGGGTTCATTTGAATAATTTTATATCAAACCAAGTATCCATTGAAGGCATTTAAGTTAGCCACGGAAGTTGGGATCTAATGAGTTGGAGTTATTTCTGTTATCTCCTGTTTTATTATAATTTCCATTGTGGCCAGTTTAACGGCACTGAGACTCTCAGCACTTCCTTCCCTATCATGTGATGAATGCAATTGAAGGGAGCAGTCAGACCTAGGCTATTTTCCTTGGCTTATGAGAACCACAAAACAGGAGAAAAATAGCCATGTTGCAAACGTATCAAAAAGCTTAAACTCTACACTGTCCTAGTTTTGACTGAAAGAATGTGGGAAGTCTTGAATTACTAAGCCCTGCTAATGCATGGTTTTCCAAAGGTCCTTAAATCACAAACTAAGAGTCAAGCATTCATCTGCATACATAATCCACTATCCTAGAAGTAATGCCAAATCTTATGGATTCAAAGTCAGACTTTTTGTCAACTTGCTGGAAAGACTGGATAAACACCTGGAAGAATAAATAAAAGGTAACTATACCATACATCGTTTAGCCTTCATTGATCTTTCCATTGTGCTGGGCACTGCTATGTTGATTGGTGCTTTTCATTATTGTCACTGTCCTTGAACATCCTCCCATTCATACAGAGAGCAGACTTGAGTCAGTTTTTGAGAAGAGATCATTGCTGGAGCTAGCACGGATCTCGTGTGCATTGTTAAACCTTCCCTAGGGATGTTTCTCTGTATGTTCCCTTTCTCTCATCCTGTCTGGAACCTACAGCAATAAGCATCTTTGGTGAATCAGTCAGTGAATGAGATTTTAGCCGTGAAGTGCAGTACTGAAGTCTCATTTCAGGTAGTTTTACACAGAGACTTCTTATCTAGGAAAGAGATGATTAAATCTTGAGTACCCTTCATTGAGCAGTACCCCCTAATACAAGACTGGGGTTTAGCAGAGCTCAGAAATCTGTTGAAGTGATGAGTCTGTGTCAGCAGAAGGCAACAGAAACCTGTAGCAGCACATGAGGGTCACCAGTGCAGGTCTGAAATATATTTCTAGTACCATGTCTATGCAGCAGTGACACGGAGAAGAAGGAGAGAGTCCTCTGTAGTGCAGAAGGGAGTTTCTCACCTCTCTAGCTCTGTGAGAAGAATGTGCAGCAAGGATGTAGCAAGCTTTGGACACAACTCATGACCACTGTTATTAATTATGGGGTGCTGTTTCCTTGCCCTGCAAAGCAAATGAAGTCTGTGACCAAACTGAACTGCCAGTGAACACTCTTCCCTTAAATTATTTGTCTCTGTAATTGATGCATTATAACGCTCATTAAACCTGAAAGTTACTCTTCTTAAATGTTACTGAAAATCCCTTAAGTAATCTCCTTTTCAGTTTTTATTTTCAGGCCTCTGTCCTCTTCTGGAACAATTTTGCTTCATCCTTACTAGTTACTGCTATTTTTAGCAAACTTGAGTTCTTTCTTTTAACAGGCAACAAGGTGTATGCCAAGATCTTGTGGGCCTACATTAAATATAGAATTATTTGCTGTAAAAATAAGTAGAAGCTGTTTTTTTATTTACTAAGCCAAGTGTTGTGTTCTCCACAACAGAAGAATTCTGAGGAGAGGCTATTACTAGATCAGAGAGGATAATCATGCTGATGGCACTGGGTATATTTTTTTTTTTACCAACTCTTCATTTAATTTCCATGTTAGCAAATTAGTGGGGGCAAAATGAATTGTCCTTTCCTGAAGGAAGCCTGCACCTAAATAAAGCATTGATCAGACACTATCTTTTCCTGTTTATACTTTGCATCAATAAGGTTTGCCTCTACAGAGAAAGCCAGTAAAAGCCTGGAAAATGTCTATAAAAAACACAGAGGTTTTTTAATTTACTGATTTCTGTAGATTCAGGGAATAATTTCAGACTTTGTTCTGAAGGAAGGTAAACAACACAAATATCAGAAACATGCAAGTAATTTTACCTGTGTTGGAAATAAAAATCTTAGCAGTCAAAGTATTATTCTGCAAGAACTCGAGGGTTTTCCCATATATTTCTAAGCATGTGCCTTGAAAGGCCATGGCATGTAGGTGATTTTAGTCCTGCTTTTCTTATTCTATTCCCTGACTGATGTTTAAAAGCTCAGTTTTTGGTTCCAAGGCACTGCACAAACACCATTTTGTTGAAGTGGTAGCTACCAAGTGAAAAGGTAAGGGGGGAAACCAGTATGGGCTGCTGAAATTAGGTCTTAAATAATCAAGAAATCAGAAAGGAAGCAAGGTTTGACAGCGGCCCTGCCACTTGCTGAGTCTACAATATATGGGCCTTTAAACATGCACCCTGTACAAAATACAGGCGGCTTTTCTTGCAGTGCTAAAGAATAAATGCAGTTCTAAACAACAGGAAGTAAAGCAAGCATTTCATTGCAAAATACACGCTACAAGCCTAACATTATTTGTGTCTACAGCTCCCCGTGTTTCTCCTGTCACCAGAAATGATGAAGAATTAATGCCTCGTGCTGCAGCTGCCCACAGTGAAAATTGATCCTTGGGGTACTCCATGTTTTCATCCAACTCTAGTTAAACCCTAATGATGCTTTTTCTGTCCCCGAGGATGGCAAAGCAGTAATAGGGAGCAGCAAATCTTACACTGTCAGGGGTTTCTGTTCCACTGCTGCTCCATTTCAAGCCCTTGATTTGGGTGGGGCGAGTACTTTGTAAGCCTTCAAGCCTGCCAGCAATCAGGGTACATTTTATTTCCTCATGATTTATTTGAAATGGTTCAAGCTGATCCTAATTTGACATCCTGTTTCCCTTATTCCACTGTCCCTTTCAGCAAAATTTTTTCAGTACTTGTTTAAAAACCAGAGTTGTCGAGGTTATTTGTGTCTTTTGAAGGAGATGTAGCCCTGGTGCAGGAGTAGCAGCTCGAGGTTGGAGCCTGCCATTCTTCCCTGAACTGCAGCGTCAGCAGCAGCCCAAGCATCGCACACCCCTCCCAGCACACCTCACTGGAACTGCGTGTGACACGCTGGCCACCTGGCGTGACAAAAACCCAGACCTGTTCTTCACTTTTCCTCAGAGGACCAGCAAAAGGGCCTGTGCTGGCTCAGGCACTGTGTGTAGCCTGTGAGATCCCAGCTGCAGGAGGTCACAGCCTGGGTTGCTCATCAGCAGGGACTAGGTTCATTTTTGTGCCCAGCACAGTATCTGTGCCAGGGGGAATGCCACCCTGCTGATGCTGCTGAAGCTGGGTGCTTCCTCTTAATGCCTTGATAGGAAAAGGCATCTGCAAAATCCAGCTGCAACTCAAATACAGCCCTGCCGGCTAGGCGTGATTTCTCGTGTATTTTGGCCAACTGAGCCTGCTCTCTGATGAAATAGACGCTATTGGCATGCTGTGTTTCCTAGACTTTGTGCACCCTGTCCCTTGTATCCAGTGGTTGCTGTGTCTCAATACACCCATTTTCCTCTTGACTATAGGGGAGCTCTTAGGCAGCTCACAGGTGAAGCAGGAAAGAGGATGGCATCTGCTGGTTTCAGCAAGAAAGAGGTGAGTGTGGGTGAATGAGTTTGGTCTGTGAGAATTTGGCTTGTCTTCCTCAGAGCACCCACAGCCCTGGTAGCCAAGAAGGAATGACAGCTCCTGTCTAATGGGGTCAGATAGTAAATGGAGCCGTTTCCGCACGGTGGCGGCTGGTGTATAATTATACACTGGGCTGTGGCGTGTCTGGTCCTAATAGCACCCAGGACTCTTGGGAGTGACTCAGCCACTGCTTGGGCTAATTATGGGCAAGTTGCACGAAAAACCCCCACAACTTGATCCTGCTTTCCTCTCCTCCACTGGATGGGTGTTCAGTAACAACCTGGATTGCTCATACAAAGCTCATACAGAAAGGGTAAATGCCTGATCATTAGGAAAAGGCTTTTCAAAGCAAGGCTGCAAAGAACACTCAGAGGTGCCTGGTTTGAAAAGTAAGTGGTGTCTGTCAGGGCATTGCTCAGGCAAATGTGATTCCCTGTCTCTGGCATCACCCATTGCTGGAGTACCTTATAAGAGAGATTCAAAAATGACGTGGTCACTTGGTTTGTCATGCTTGTGGGGGGCAGGACTATTTCTTCTGCATTTGTCATGGCCATTTTGTTGAATTGGGCATTATTTTTGTTGTGGTGCTGTAGAAATGGGCCATGGCTCTTTTGAGAAATTATCTATGTATTCAGCACTGTGATATACTGTGGCAAAAGGTTCCCCACATTGGCTATACTGTGTGAAGTGTTTGTTATGTTCTCTGCTCCTGAGATACTATGGAGCAGGCTCAAGAATCAAGGAAGTTAATTCCAGGCAAACATTTAGAAGATGATGGAGGTTACCAGCATCACTTTGTATAGAGCCCCATGTTTGCTAAGAGCTTGTACTGATTTTAAAGCATACCTTAAAGAAACATCAGCAGTATCTCCCTGTGTCTAGTGTTACATACCCAGAATTAAGGAAGTTGCAAGAAGCTGTTGAAATGAATTTGCAGGCAGTTTTGTGACTGTTTCCTGCCAGGTTTTTGGCTTGTATTTATGGGAAAGAGTTACCAAAAATTCTGCCTCAAGAAGTGACACCATCAAATGCACAAATCTCCAGGATACTAAGCCCACAGCAGAGAGCATTTCCACAAGAACATGCAGTCTCACAGTGGAAATGGTGCCCCCAGAGGTTGGAGCATCTCCCTGGAGAATGGTGAGCCAGGAGTAGACAAAGCCATGGTGGTCCTATCCAGCAACTGGAGATAGGCCTGCTTCAAGCAAAATGTAGGAATAAATTACCTGAAGACAGACTTTTCAGGCAACTTGGACGTGGTTCTATTTATTTTTTAATGCCTGTGATACAGATCTAAGCACAAACTATATCCTTTAAAGGTTGTTCAGAGGCAATAGCACAAAATGAAGAGCCAAAGTGGTAAGATTTCATAAGTTTATTGTTTCTAATTTTTTTAGATCTTAGAAGGGCAAACCCATAAAATTTAAATAAATTGAGTACTTTTTCAGTCATTCACTTGTGTTAGTAGGCATGGCTGCAAAAATTGTGGCTGCTTTTTGTACAACACAATGCTTTTAAGTAGCTGCCTAAGCTAATTCTGAGCAGAGCAGCTCAAGTACTTGTTGATGCACTAGATGAATATTGCATCATCCCTTCATTTTTATGAAAGGTACCTTGATGTTGCTTTGAAGAAAAACCGTGTTTGGATTTGAAAGTAGGCTGGGCTTCTGGAGCCAGTGCTCCGTGTATACAAACAAGATGCTTCTTCAGGGAGGAGCTAGGGCTAGAAACTGGTCCAACCTGCGCTGAATTCTGGTTGTTTAGACCACTTAGAGAGCAGTTCGCAAACAGGAAAGAGTTAAAACCGAGTTAAATGAGCTGCTTTGTGGGCAAGGGTATCCGGGCCGACTGGCAATTGTGGCAAGAAGCCCTGTGCATGCCAACCTGAGAGGCCTGTTTGCAGGGTAGTTGGCTTTTACATACTGACATCTTGCTATAGAAAAATAAGAATTGTTTTGAGGTTTGTCTTTGCACCTTGTCCTGCCACTCAAGATTAAATCTCTCAGACAAAACAAGCTGTTTGGGAGGCGGACCAAGAATGCCTTTACAGTGAAGAAAAATAAAAACACTCAGCCAACTGTGATTAACTATTGAATGCAAAACACTCCCTGGGTTTTGTTTATTTGTAGACTGTAGAAAAAGCTCACAAACGATGCCATGCTTTCAGTGTGAAAACACTTCAGCCTCTGCATCCCTCTGTTGCTGGGGGAAGGAAGGGATTTTATCCAAGCTTGTTCAGGAGGAGGCTTTTTTTTTTTTTAATTTCTAAAAGTGTTGTTTATTTGTTTTTGCAAAGGCGATGTACCCAGTTTCCTCCCATTGTGCATATTCCTGCCTCCAGCTGTTCCAACCTGAGCTGGACTTTGGCTCCCTCCCCTCTCACTCCACTGGGCAGGACAGGCTGAGAGCACTCAGCTCGGGCACGGTGCTGCCAGATGCAGTGGCATGCACAGAATCCCTCTGTCTTCCAAATGCTGTCCAGATGAGCACAGAGAGAAGTCGGCAAAAAAAAAAAAAAAAAAAAAAAAAAAAAAAAGACAAAAAAGTGCCTGGAAGCAATTGCTTACTGCTTGCAGAGAGCTGTGAGCATCCCTAAGCTTTGAGGCAACCTCTGGAAATGACAGTGAGGGAGCCCAATGTGCTTTATGTGTGCATTTACCTGTTCATCTGAGCAAATGACAACATCCAGGTGTACAGGCAGTTTTAGGTTTCAGGGAAGGGAGAGAAAGTGGATGCTGGCAGCCAGAGAGGAAGGGAGCAGAGTTTTATTGGCACTGTGCTGCTGTGGGCCTGGAACAGCACTGCTGGGTATTGTGTTTGTGCTGGAAGGGCTGAAGGTGGAGGCGAGTACGTGGAATTGTGCAGGATTGCTCTTCAAGGTCAAGGAAATGCAGAAAGTAAACAGTGTTAATTAGGAAAGAAAAACAGGACTATTAAGACTCCTTTGGCTCCAGTTTTCTAAATTGCAGG